GAGGGAGGGGAGGGGGGGGGGGGGGGCCTTGGCGCTTAGAATCCCCTAAGTAAAGTAATAATACAAATGGATCCTTCTACCATTGGAGAAATAAAAAGGTAAAGAAGAAGAAAAAGAAGGGAAAAAGCAAGGAAAGGAGGAAAATAGTAGGAAAAAAAGAAGAAGAAAAAACTAAAGAAGGTTGAAGTGAAAAAAGTTCAAAGTCTAGGCATAAGCGTTGCACGGCAGAGGCGTTGATATAAAATGGCCGACAGCTGGCTGCAGATGAGAGCTCGGACCAATTTATAAACGGCCTAACGTATACTTGGGCCACCGTAGTACCTCTGCGGCCCGCCTAGAGGTACATATGGAACCTTACCTTAGCTTGACGCTGCACTGCATCGTCCTCAAGGACATGAACTTCTCCTCATCCATGGCAGTGTCAAATTCGTTCGGACCTTGACGACAACCACGTCCACGTCCATGACGGCGGCCACGGCCATGGCCTGTGCCTTCCCGCCTGCGGCTATCTGCGTTGATCTTGATCATAATGATATCCGACCCATCTGATCAACTATCGGATCTCGGCATCGCGTTCCAATTGACACACGTTGATGATGGGCAAACTGCATTGCATCCCCCCTCTGTGTAAGCAAGCCAGTTTGATCTTCAAACCACCCAAGAACTGCGCAGGCTGAAGGCCTCGAATTCGAACTGTCATATCCCATCCCGGAAACATCACAGACACATCTTGCTGCCTCGACTTCGGCTGTGGGGCAAGCGAACGCCATACATTCGAACCGACACATCGGCCGGAATCACGGGCTGCCCGCTTCTTCACACGCTTGAATATCCAAAGAAATGGTGTGGCGGAGAGTGATTGGCCATCATCACATTGTTTTTGTCCCACCACCATCATCTACGGCAGGAACCTGGCACTGGCGTCAAACCCAAATGCCACACGCCAGCCCAAACTATCTACCCGTCAAACACAAGCTTACAACACCCACTCGCCCTCGGGTTTATTCTCCTAAACGGTCTGAGAGGGACAGCGAACGGCAACGCAACGCCTGCAACTTGTTACTGCATCTACATTTCTGCGTATTATCTTGCGCCAGCAAGCATGGCGTCGGGCAAGCAGTTCAGATCACGCCTTGACTTGATACTGGCATCTCCTTTGACTCTGGCCTCGCAAACACAGCTACCACTGGCGGTTTCTTCGCCCACGTAGTGTTGGTGTCACGCGTTCAATAAGCCCTGTGGTGATTAACAGAGTGATTCCTCGTCCTTCTCGCGATCACCATAGCAACACAACGGCAAGCTTCACCAAAACAAACAGTTGACAAGTCGGCCACCTTCTCCACTGACACAATCAAGCTTGCTTTCGACCGGCATTGTTCATCTTCTCCGGATTGGCTGCCTTGTTATTTCTTCACCGGCAAGTTAACTCTTCTTATCTCTTCGTTCTCTCTTTTGACACGCAAATAAACGCCATCCTCCAACACTCCTGACTTTCGATACCCTCTGGTGCACGCCACAACGACAGCCAGGCGTCCGTAATGCTGTGACAGGTATTAGGCCTTGCTGCCCAGTAACATCCACTGGCGCTTGCGAGATGCGCGTATCCCGTCGATCGATGGGCTTCAGCGATGGACATCAAGGCACTGTCCGGGATGTGCAACACTATTGCCCACGCACTTCCCAAAACCTCCAATGGCGTACGCATGGTGCCTGACAGTCACTACCACATGCACACAATGGCGAAAAGCCATCGGCCAAATATACCTAAGCCATCGATGTTCAGCGGATGCTTGTTTACTCGTCCCCTTTCTTTATGCCCAGTCATGAACGGGTGTTGCCTTTGGCGTGTTTCCACCTTGGCTGGAAACCAAACAAGTTGAGCGTAGAAGAAGCCTATTGTTAGCAAAGATTGACAGCAAATTTGCGGCAAACCTGAATTTCTAGCCAGTCAGGTTGACCTCACTTTCTGTCACAAGACACGACACACACATGGCTTGAACATGAGCGTGGACAGCTCGGAAGCGGACACGGCCAAATTCCCACGCATACATGTGTTTGATAGGTAAGAGATACTACACAGTACTGCTTCAAAAACCATGGGAAAAAGCAATGACGACGGATGGGGAGCCAACCACGGCATTCCGAGGTACAGGCATATCCTCTTCGACCCAATATACCCCCACACATCGCCTACTCAAATTTTGCAGGATCACTGTGTTCGACACCAAACTATGCAGCAGATGTCTGGTAAGCCGATGCAACTACACCCGTGTAACACAGCGCACAGGGTAAAGCTGTACCCAGCGACCGTCTACATCCCGATATCGTACTTGCGGCTACGGGGAGGTTTTGCCAGCTTTCTTCCGGACCGGGCAAGCCTCCTTAAACCGCATAGCTATCCAGCTACGCCTACATTGTGTCAACAAAACAGGCCTCACACAGAGATGGGATTGAGTGGAAAATACTACGGCTACCCGACAGACGTGTTACTTCATCTGTTCATACCCTCAGTCGTCACCGGCTTCCCAGCATCGTTCCACGACAGTCATAAGGCTGCGCATGCCCGTCCACACACCCAAGGTAGGACTTACATGGTCGTCGTCGACGGGCTAATGCTTACCCAGTATGAGGCATTGTGATGATGACAAGTTACCTTAAACTGTTACACGCCCCAAAGGGCTGCATGACCGGTCGGCCGAGTTGATGAACCATCGGAGCACATGCTAATTGTTGACCTCCTTCCGACAGCCTTGGGTTTTTGGTTTCCTACCAGATCATACCGGTATGCTGCCCTATGGGTTGATCCATATTCAATGGCAGGCTCTGGTATCTGTAGTGTCACCCTACAGTAACATGACCGTTTACAGGTAGCAGTCTCAACCTTGCACTTGCTGAAATTAAACAGCGATAGTCGGAAATCTCAATAAGACTGTTAATAAAAACTCATGGCATCGAAAGCATGTCAGGTACTTCGACACACGATCTTTTCCAACAACCGCAGTACAAAGCTTCCCTCTCAAGCACTTACGGGGAAAAGAAAATGATGAATCCTTACTAGACCTAAACCAAGAAGCTTGAAGAGGTTCAAACCGAACCGAACCGAACCGAACCGAGCCGTAACCGAACCGAGTAAGAGTTCATGTCTAGGTACTAGTCCCTGATAATTCCTAGGTATATCTCAACAACATGACCACCAAAGATCCGTACCACCGAAGGAATCGAGAAATTTTTCCATGTAATGTGTCTTACAGCAACAAACAACATACCACTACTCTACGCCTGAGAAATCAGCGCTAGGGGAAGAACTATGATAAGGATCGTACCACAGCGCCGCCAGACACATCATGATATTGACCCATGCTCACCATTGCTAATACCTCCAATCTTATACGAGAAATGACCCAGGGATCACGATCATAATCCTACCTTGACTCTAGCGTATAAGCCTCACCACCACTACCACCACCACCACCACCAGCACAATGGCATATGTACATACATAATCCCATTTTACACTGTACGCTGTGCGTAATGTAATCCCCATATCGCATCCGACTCCCACTCCGACCGACTCCATAATTCGTTTCGGCCCTCCGCAACCCGCTTTCTCCCGTTGTCCCGTCGCTACTGACCTGGGTTGCGCGCGTTGAATGAAACCCGCAATTCCGATCTCGATGCATGCGGTGCGATGATGAGGAAGGACGAAGCTTTTCTTTTTGTGATGCTTGCTTGCCTGACAGGACATATCCATTCGTAATCCACTGGGGTTCTTTTTTCTTTTTTTTTTTTTTTTCTCGCGAATAATAAATCACAGTAAGGTAATCTCCCCTGCTTGCTTTCACACTAAAACAACTAGACCGGGAAGCCATATTTTTTTTTGTTTTTTTTTTGTTTTTTTATTCCATACACTAATGTACGTGCCGTACCTAGCCATCTTCAGCCAAACCTGTCTTCTTCTTCTTCTTCTTCTTATTCTGCTTCTTCTTCTCAAGAGTTATTGACGCCGTCAGCACCCCCGTCACGCCATGACTCTCCCACGAGACCGGTTGGCCATCGGGGCCGCTCAGTGGAACTAAGCTATAAAAGATGGTTTAGCAAGTGTATTTGCTAATATCCACTTTGTCTAAGGTGTCTACACTAGGATGTTGTGTTTTCAAGAGTGGGAAGGGAAGAAACTCCCCTTATCCATTGCCGATCAAACCCACTTTGTCAGTGTATGTAGTGTAGTGTAGTGTGATGCGATTCAGGTTAAACCATCGAGGGGCAGACAAGGATATCTGTCTGAGACGAAAGAGCTTCCGTGTTTGTCGCTACTTGCTGTTTAGCGCATACTATTTCAAGTACAACTATAGCACGTATAAACATTTCCATCAATCACAAGCGCGAAGAGCCCGATATTTCAGATCTATCAGCGAGAGTCCAGAACACGTTGACACACGGAAACGTTTCTTTGGTGACACAAATGAAGCACCGTTCAGGGCGCTTCGATAAAATGCTATGGTGGTATCGATTTCAATGAATCGTTTTTGTTTTCCGGTCCCTGAATTCCCAATTTCCCATCTAAATCATTTTGAGCCATAGCCGGTTCATCCCTCCTGAAAAATCCATTTTCCTTTCCATCCCAAGCCTGCCAGTGATACCAATAACCATTATGTTTCCTTGTAAAAAAAAGTGCAATCCAATCTCCCTAGACTCCAAACAAAAAGCAAACAACACCTGTAAAACAACAACTCTATAGGTACAATACACGCATACACATGTATGGCTCGTGATGATGATGATGAATGACGAAAAATCTGCCTGTAAGGTCCATGGGTATAAGATGCGAGATGGCCAAAGGCCATGAAAGGCAAGCGAAACAAAAATACAAAGAAGCAGAGAAGAAAAGGATACGGCAACAAAAACCCAAGTTCGTTGGGCTTTTTGTCGCTCATCCCCCACTCGTTGGGTTTCTGGAACGAGATGAGAGGAAGCTTGCAAGTCGTGGGGGAGGCGCAGGCTAATGACTTAGGGTGAGACACGACCGCTTTTGTGGTTGGAGAGTTGGGTGTCAATGTGGGGGAGGAGAAAAGAGAAAGGTCTGGCCGGGTTGTTGGCGCCCACGTGTACCGATAATAATGATGACGATGTTGATATGACAAGGCGACAACTGGCTGCCCAGGCTGCTGTTGTTCCATGCCCTGGAACTGTCCCCCAACCATGCTGCAGCACCACCCTGGATAGGGTTGCACTGGGGTTGGACCGGACCGTATGAGGGCGGGCGCCAGTGCAATGGTACCTGCGATAACAAGGACTCATCACAAGCTGGCGCAGATGGTGCCTCATATTACAGTTGGCTGGAAATGGAGACCCATTCGACAGGCAGGTGAATAAATAACCGATGCCTTCGTCGCGCGCGTCGAGTCACAACTTTTGGGAAGATCGGAAGTGCTTGACCGCCCGGTTGCTTGCCGACTGTGTGATGGCCGGAGAGAATGGGTGTGGTATCCATGCTGGCTGCTGTGACAAGGGGGTCCGCCGTGAGGTGTGGCCCATCCATGGTTCTTGGCAAGTATGGGATGCCGAGGGTCCAATTTGCCAACCCAAGTACCTATCGTTGTCTTGATTCTGCATGGGGCTCGCGTTGCGTATGGCCGTTGTTGTTGTCGCATGGAAACGGCCGAACTGCCGCTTTCGATGATTTTGATGTACGGGCCTGGGTCCATGTGCTTTTGGCAGTGGTTGACCCATTTTCGCATTTCTGTCGCCGCCGTTGTCGATATTTCCGCTCCAGTGTCGTTCTCTCGTCTGGCGAAGATGTTCAAATCGAGGTGGTCGGCGCTTGGCTTGTCATCGCCCGATTGCGGTATCCCCAGATTACCTAGTAGCCTCACATTGCTGCACTGCCTTGAATGCCACTGATCGTCGATGCGATTGCGGGCTTCGGTGGGGAAGTGGTGTTTTTGTCTGTTATTGCCAGAAGCCTGATGCGCTCAAAGGTAAGTTTGCTGCTTGCTGGTGCGCTTGATCATGCTCTCCCAGGGAGGGTATGTCTTGGGCTTGCATTCGCCTATTCAGAAGTCAGCCTCCAGTCGATGTGGGGGAACGATGTCAGGATGATTAAACAGGAAAGGGTGTGGGGGGGGGGCAGGAACGGTTGTTCAGATTCAGATGAAGGTCATGTCGATCACATACCGCATAGCTCCTCCTGCCTGTACTCAAAGTGGGTGACGTTGGGTTGGCAGCGCTTGTGGGTGATGGTGTAGTCTCTGCACCACTTGGACGCGATCCAGCGGAAGTGGCCGCACGAGTATTCCCGTTGAGTGTAGTCGCACATCTTGACTGATATTGGCGTTTTGTTGAACAGTTGGCGGTGTTGGCGGGCTGATTGCGAGGATCAGACAGTCGGCAGTCTAGTGAGAGTCGGACCCAAGGTATGAATGATATCGATGTCGATGACGAGCCGAGTAGCCAAGTGCCTGAGTTGGGCTGGTTGAGAAATCTGTGGGGGAAGCAAGCTCTACAGACTGGAGAAAGAGGAGATGGCCAAGATGGGACGGTGGGCACGACGTTGTATTTAACCTTGTATGCCAGGTGGTGCGTCCTATGGAGTAGTAGTATGAAGGATCGTGAGGAGGATGCTTAAGCACAGTGAGAAAACGAAAAAAAAAAGAAAATGAAAAAGGATGGCGCATCCGAGTCAATCCCGACCTTGCCCTGTCCTCCAACGTGAGCCCTTTGGAAGGTGGAGTGTTGTCAAAAGATGCGAAGCACCGTTCCTTCCAGGATCCCCTTGCCCGCTTTCTGGTGTCAGTTGATGAGCTCTCGTCAGGTACCTCTACCTTGCTGGGTACACCTGCTACTTGCCGGACATGGGTTCGCTCGGCAGGTACGTACCTTGGCTACGCATGTACAGCGTGCGACACAGTTCACCGTACAGAGACTACCGAAAGCATGAGGCTGTGGGAGCCAGGGGACGATGAAAACATATGGTGAAATAATAGTCCATGGACTGCCGCCCCGAACTTTGTTCCTCTTGTCTGGACAATGGCGCGACATTGATTCGCTGCTAAGTGCCAACACCCCACACCCTTGACTTCGTTGAGAGACACGGTATGGAGGTCTGGGCAAGGGGCATTCCGTTCCTCCTCGAGTCCTCGACACAAGGAGCGTGTGGAGCCAAGGTCAACCGACAGGGGCTCAGGTTACTTCGCCGTATGTGGAGCTTGATGCTTGGCATTCTGCAAGTCTTGTTAGCGGCAGCACGGTAAGGAATCCATTTGAAGTTTTAACGGAGCAAGGACGGGGTCACGGTGCGACTCAAGTTCTTCGGCTACGAGTCGTCAGGTACGGTACGTACATCATTCACTCACCATCCTTGCGGCGAGGAGTCTTCATTGTGTCTTCTGTCATATAAGCGATACCGTTTGTTGTGTGGTACTTACTGCGTATATCTACAATTTTCACCAATGCTGCGACCACAGTTTGCACTCGTCCTCTCCACTATACTTCTCTCTGTTCCCGTAGGTACTCGGGTGATGGTGTCAAGGTCGGATGCTCCGTCTCCAGACTTGATATATTTATTTATACCATTTGGGCTTTCAGGCTGCTGAGGGAGGCACCATCGTCATCGGGCTCTTGTGCAATTTGTCTTTGCGAAGAAAGGTGTCGTCTATCACGCCTCGATCCAGCGGTCATATTCGCAACAATGATTCGGTGACGGGCCTTTGGTACCGCATGAATGATACTACTCCGCGAACTTTCGAACCGACTTAGATCTCATCACCTTTTGGCATCAAATCTTGATGAAAACCTCGCGCCATGCTGACGGACAACGGGCCGATCTGAAAGGTAGAAGACAGAAACGCGGCGCATTTCCGTCCTTGTCGGTGGCTGATGGAATCTTGCCAGCGGAAAACCCAGCTGCGGGGCAAATTTTTCATATTCCAGTACGGAGCGACCGTACCTTTTTACCCAACGACAATACAGTGTCTGCATCTCAGCATGACACGAATAAATCGTCCCTGTAGACAACGACACACACAAACACTTTTGCAGGCTGTAGGCATGTGTGATGAGTGGAATTTGTGGGTTTACACTACGGTGACATCTCCGTTCGCATGCGTACCACTCAGTTAGGTTCGCCATAGACTCCGACTCGGCAATGGAGCAGACCCCGGAAAAAGAACAGTGCTTGTTGTGCTGAAAATTCCCGCATCTTCAAATCTCAACCCAAACACAAAAGCAGAAAACACGGCGGGAGAGTCCTGCTAAAATGTCCGCTAGCGAATTCCCTGTCAAGTCTTGTTAGGCCGAGAGTTCAACATTACAAGTCGCCGCAAGCGCGGCCCCTCTCATCGGCGTGTTAGTGGTTCAATGTGGGGAGATTCTTCGCAAAATATCCTGTGGAGTTCGGGAATTGAGGCTCGGCGCGGCGGTATTATCACACAACGGAATCCCCGACCCAGCTTCATCTTGGCCTCGGATTCATCTGAACTCGAAACGCGCGCGCACAAACATGGTGATGCTATAGCACGACAGCCAATTGTCTGTACGACAAGATCAAATGAGCGTATAGGCATCAAAGGGTCCGTCCCGGTATTTCCTCTGAAACTTACGTACCCTGCCAATGTTCCGGTGGCAGGGTTTTGTGCTTTACCTTTTTTGCCTTGTGAACATCTCATGGGTCTTTTTTAAAACAGCTCGACGCTTGCAAAGACAGGATGGACTACATACACACGGTCACTCACAGTGTTCTGAGTCCCTGGATACCGCTTTTTCTCAGTCACTTGAAATTTTATAGTGTAAACGTGGCACTTTTGGTGAGAATAGCGCATATGCACGACGGCTTTAGTGGCAGATGAGAAATCAGTCCAGTGGGATTCTGTCTTTTTCGTAGCTAGCTAGCGCCTTTCGTAACTCTTTTACAACTGCAATTTTGCGGAAATATGTTTATCCTCGCCGTCCCGGGGCTCATGGCGGCGAGGTTTGCTAGCTTGCTAGGTATGTACACTACGTGTATGTAGTGTATGGTGAATGGTGATCGTCTTGTAACGAGGACTGGGGTAAGGGCTGTTCACAAAGTGGCCATCGAACCCTGGGATTCTCAGCAACGTTCTGGAAGGCTTTTGGAAGCTTTCATCTCTCCGGGCGAAGATCCAGTACTGGCAAAGCGTGTCATCACCGAGGCCTGTCCCATGCTCGCCCACACCTGACTTGGCCGGGCGTCAACCAGCGTCACGAAATCGAGGGTGGCTTCAACGCCAGCCTCCATCGCCCCGTCCGTCGTACCCATTGCCCTGTGTGCTCCGCCATTGGCAGGCCCGAAACCGAAGTTGAAGTTAAGAACATGCACGGCCACAAGATCGACGTGGATCCGCAAAACCCTCCACTTGTTTCCGATGTGCGAGATGTGCGTGCTGGCTGCGGCTGTGATGTTTTCAATGTGACCATCAAGAACACGCAAAAGGCACACACTCATCATAATTTCAAAGGGTTCCGGTCTTGAACCCCCACTTTCCGGTCTGGACTCCTACCACCTCTGATTGTCAACGGGCCGGATCAATGGACGATTGTACCATCCTACCAGCGGATGCTACACGACCATTTATAGTAGAAACCCCCCCTTTTGCAACTAATGCGGGCAGCCCAAAATCTTTGCAAAAGGGGGGGTTTTGCAAAAGGAGGTACTGAAGCACAGACCAAGCAAAGGCCTTTTGGCCACTAGATAATAGTTATAATACTAAAAAGTGGGTCTCCCAGGCCGGCCGGGCCCCCGGTATACGGGTATATGAGTGCCCGCCCCACCAAATTCGACCCCTGCTTTTGCAAATCCGGGCCGTTAGCGTTGCAAATTGCAGGTTGCAGGAATTACCACCAGAGGGAATGCAGGCAGTCGAAATTCTTTGCAAAAGGGGGGGTTTTGCAAAAGAGGAGGGTTGCAAAAGCAGGGGTTTCTACTGTATAAGGCATGCTCTATACGCCCTACGTGTGATGTACTGTATCAAGGGGGTCCATAGGCGATATACCTAAATGCGGAAGGCCAGAGAGCAGTATAGAGCCACTGGGACCCGTCGGTGCAGTTGGATCGCTGGGGGATGAAATGTGACGGAAGGTCTTTCCGTCTTTTCTTGTTGAAGTGGACTCACTTCCGAAAACAGAAGGAGGGGATTTGGAAAGGGAGTTTGTGAAAACCGTGACATTGCATGTGGCCAGAAGAGTTCTTTTCCTCTCCTTGCAAAATTTGCATGTGCTTGTTGGCCTGAACCCAACGGCCCATGCACATTACGAGCCCGACTCTGATGGTCTAGCGCCGAAACGCCCGTCGACTTAGACTACCTACAGACTAAGTATGGAGACCGGCCGACGCACTACCAATATGTATGCTGCTACGTGTACATTGATAGGACGGAATCTGAGGGAGTGATGCGGCTCAATGCCATGTCCTCATGCTTGACCTCCTCCACCGCGTTCCACGACTCCGTCCTCAGTCTGGACAAGTTTGCGCCTTGGCGTCTCTACCGAATATACAAAGTATACACTACGTACTAAGCACGAAACTAAAAGTGGAATGCAGCTAACGGCGGTTTTAACCTGGTACCAAATTGAGTTTGATATCGGATTGGATAGCTCTGGTTTGTGTCTGCCGGAGACCATGAGAGAATCGGTACTTGAGTTGGCTGCAATTGAAGCTAATCCCACGTTGTTCTAGAAGGCAGGTGCTTCCCACGCGCCAGGCAGCGACGTCGTCCATGCCGGAATCCGCCGTTCCTTCCACCTACACTACATACTAAGGTATGTACCTATTCAGTTTGATTTTGCCCGTCCTCTACATAGTACACCTGCCATTCCTACCAACGCACATCGAATATCGAATTTGTGACTTCAGGACAACATCCTTGGAAATCACCATCCCATCCTTCATTCATTCATTTCCAGGCTAGCCATCAATGCCGAAGGATAACCCGAGACACAATTGAGGCCTCTGCTCTGCCATGGCACAAACATGGATGATCGCTACAACGTCCAAGGTTGGCACTTTTCGAACCCTTCAAGAAAGGAACACGTTAGTAATGCCAAGGCTGACCCACTGGTCTTCTAGAAGCGAAGCTCAAGGTGTGGATCGAGGCAATCGCCAATGGTTGCGTCGACTGCGTGTGGAGCCTCCATCCAGTTCGCGGCTTGGTGGGCGGGCCTACGAGGATGGGATGGGCCCGAGGATGCTCCTCGCACCTCGGCCCACCGTCCCACACTTTGGCCGAAGCCAGCGCCTCCTCTTTTTCGGTGACATCCCAGCCATGCACGTTGTGTGCTCCAGAAGCGCTCGCAGTGGTTCGGTTGTCGTCACTTTTACACTCCTGAGGACTCCGTGTTAATCGACACACAGTACATTCGGACATGACTCGCTTCTGGTCACCATGGTTAGCTGCTACGGGATTGGGCCTCCCCACATGCTAAAACTCCGTCGCGCGAGTCAGGCTATGGATAACAACGGGAGTTCACGATGGCACGACAACAACACAACACGAACGACAAAACGGCAACTGCCAATGAACACACCTGTCGGTTGATCTTAAATTCAGTGTCTACTTATATATCTCAATGCGTATACACTACTTTGCTGAGACGCCATGGCGACACTTATGCGAATCTACACGCCAAAGGTTCGTCGGCATCTTTCTTGATCCCGCCACAAGCAAAGTCATGCCGGCGTCCTGGCCAACCTGAAATTCGGGCTTCGGCTGTTTTACCACGTGTACACTAACTTTGGTCTTTGGATTACAAACCTACCCAGGAAGCGAGCGAATTGGCGGAAAGAAGCAGGCATCCAGGCACAAATTTCCTCAAACACTTACCATCCACATTCACTTCGGTACTGATACCTGCGAGAACTTCCTGACTGTCGGACGACCAGTTGCACGCGCTAAACCTTTTAGGAACCGTATCAGTGACAGACACTCCCTCTTCGGCCGAGCTGAACAGGGATACCTATGAGAACTCGCCATTTTGCCTTTTACTCTTTCCTGGACGTGGACCACCAAAGTGCACAAATATCCATATATATCAGCATTACCAGAGCGAGGTTGGCGTACATTGCGTCTTTGAACTCTATGCAAACGGCCCTGGGGGTTCCCAGCTCATCATGCTGCCATTTGCGGTCACAGTTGACCTCCTTGGCTTTCGGATGAATGCGTTCTTGAGTCGCCGACCTATGGGAACCATGTCCCTGCAACGCTATCTCCATCCGTGTTGAAGATGGGAATGGTTCTCTTGGCAAAACATCCAAAAAGACTTCCCAGCGTTTTGGTTTGGGTCCACGGGAACAGCACCCTTCGGCTTGGTTGGGAGCCCCGAGTGGCCATGAGGAGAGATTTGTGGGCAGATTCGCAGACGAGTAGCCAGAGTGCGTAAACCCCCGATGGCTTCTTTCACACATCCCTCTCCATCACTTTTGGTATCCTTCGATATTGGCTCTTTCTACTTATTGAAACAGAAGTACTTGGGGGTTGTCGGGCGGCTTGGTCAGAGTCTTTTGTCAACCCCCTCTTATAAGTCCCACCACCAAACCGCATCACAACCCCCAAGTATATCATGAGGAATCTCGACAAGAGCAAACCTGCTCTCATTGTACGCACACCATCCGTACGCACAAATCCCCTTTTCAACGCCGCCAATTCGCGTTTTTATCATCAGCTTGCAACACAATCCCTCGCATCACTCATGATTTCTAGCCGAGACAGCTTGTCTATGATGTCGTTGTTATTGCCAAGGCTGGAACACATGGCTCTACGTAAGCTGCCAAAGATCGGACTGTACCCACGCACCATCATAATTGCATCGGTTTGGCGTTGTGGAGAGTCCCGACAGACAGGTTTGCCGTTCAAACCCCAATTCCGGCAGCCACTTGACAAGGCCCACCTACAACTAGCGTTGACGCCATGTTCAAGATCTTCCTTGGCATGGTGTACAATGTTTGGTGGCTTGCTTTCAACGCTGATTCAACATCCACTTTGCTGAAAGGAGATAGCATATGCATCAATGACCCAAAAGAGTGTCTAGTCAGGGCATTCAAATCTACCACAGTTTGTGAATTTCGTGGAGATTCTGCAGACTCTGCGGATCGGCGGAAAGCTATGAGCCGCTGTCGAAATCATGGGGCACCAACAACCGAGTCTCAAAAGGGTAATAAAGTCCACGAAGAAATTAGCTTCGGCACCTCGGGATTATCGCGAAGTCCAATTTGTCATTTGTTTCTTTCCAGGATCGCACAGAGGAGAAAACAGGACTCGGCATTGTGCTGAGAGTGCATAGCCTGAACAAGAACCCCGTCGGCGACAACAATATGGGGGGTTCTATCGGAGCCACGCCCGGATTTCATGTACTCTAATAGGGTCTACACTAACAGGAATAATCTTGACCCTCAGGCATTGCGTCGAATGCTTGAGCCCTAACGAGTCAGGTCTTTGCCTCAAGTCCCGTGTTGAAGCTGAAGCTCATTTCGTCCGCTTTTGGCATTATGCCGCTGACTTATACTGCGTATTTTGCCTACCCCTGGCAGCCGGCAATACTGAAGTCAACGAAGCTACATCGGTATCTGGTTTTATATCCAATCCAAGCAATCATTTTAATTGGCTGAGAAACTCGGAAAAGCCTATCAATCGAAAAAAACAAAAAAGCCCAGGACCGTTTTCACGTTACTTTTTGTCTATGTTTTTTTTTTTTGCTATCATGTCATTTTATTTAACTTCCTTGCCTCAAAGAGAAGTTGATGAGGAGAACATGATGGGGCGGTCGCATAAGGTTCTTTCGGCATTGCTAAATCAGTCCGTTACATCCCAAAAACATCATCGATGCTGGCTGCAGTGTTTACCTGCCACAATGGCTTGATGTCACCTTACCGAACCCAATATCGTGATGACGCTTGGCAGGCCGGCCTGCCGGGTCACACACTGAACTCCGCGTTTCAGATCATGATATCTGGCGAATGTGACACTGCGACCTTGCCTTAACCACATCAGATATCATCCCGCCAGTACCAGTACATATGCCAGAAGCTATAATGACCATCAATTATCGCAAGTCCCAATTGGGGATGCACCTTGACCGCTTTAATAGTGTAGACAACCGCAAACCTCCGCCCGTGATCGACGGAAGCCACACCACCGTATATCAAAGAGGAAGAACGAAACGGGGCTCGTCAAGGCAGTGTTTTGTAATTGGAACGTGCCAGCCCACGCCGGCCGATGCTGCACGGGGTACGGGCACGCTGTTCGGATGAAGTTGTTTCAACCTTCAGCTGAACTACAAGTGCAGCGCTGTTCCAGCGGATAGGGATAGAGGGGAAACTTCCTGATGTGTCATTTTTTTCATGCTGTCTCTCGATTCAGCTGGTCCCCAGATCTTTATGTTTCGGGGAAACCAGGATTCCAGGGGGGCACGCGGACTCTGGCTGGAGGGATTCCTCCGGACGAAAGTCCGTCTTCATTCGTAGTGTACCATATCGCATGTTTGGTCCGTCGGCAGCGCGGTATGTGATCCCCTTAAAGTTTTGGACGCGCGACTGTCCAGATGACGAAATCGCACGGTGATCCGCTTGTACCGCTGTCGACGTTTGACTGCTCTACTTGTCGTCTTCTCAGACATTCAGTGAAGCTGCACGGACGTCAATTATCAAAAAAGGGGCCGGCTGGTGAGAGTCCGGGGTATCCAAACGACAGGCGGCCGCTGGCCGATGGCCCTAAGCGGCAGGGGTTGCAGTAACGGGAATCATACCTAGGTCCTCAGATGCATTTACACGTGCACCGCAACCATGGGGATCCTGAGGTGTTTTTCAGGAATCGCAGGCTGTATGGGCCAGTTCAATTAGTGCTTAATTTGCGCGAATGGCCACATAAACACCACCGCAAAATCACATTCATACCTGTCGCGGATTCACTACATGCTCTCTACCGAACCTCCGGAGCCCTACCCAATACATATGTGAGCCGGTCTCGTGGGACCTGTGAAGTGTGAACTCCGATTAGCCGGCCGACGATCGGCCGACCAACCTGCCGCATTGCCGTTTTGGCGAATGCTGCTGAGCCCATCGCCTATATTAGCGCTGCTACTGTTGGTTCAGGTACGTTGGTGTCTTTGATGTTTCTCCTTGTCTTAAACATGAGATTGCTTGCTATGTACTGTCGGACTAGCTAGGCAGGGTCCAGCGGTGTGGGAAAATGATACATCCAATACACACTGGCTTGGAAGAATAATACACTGGCTTTGATTGGGCAGGAAAACAGATGGTTCAGCTTGTAACTACAACCTTTTCGCAGGTCGAGTGCCTTTGAGGCAAGCAATGACGAGCTGACACCAGACAGGAGGGAATGCGATCTAGTGTACTTTACCTAGCGGCATATTTGTCTGCGACAAAACTCATTTTGATATATGTTGAGGATTATAAGACTGGTTTAAGAGAGATGCTGAAATCTCATCTTCGAAGGACTCTCAATGTCGTCTGTGTACCAATGGTAGCGACAGGACAGTAACCCGATAAAATGGACTGGGTCGCTTGAGGGTCCAGCAGCTGCGCCTCGGGAAGCTCCCACTTATGTAATGGACCCCTACCTCTGAGATTTGGAGAAGCCGAGACATCCAAAAGATGGCGTGATGGCGAATGGGGATCCATGCAGTATGGAGGAGGTGTCTTGCAAATCCTCTCTACATCTACGTGTAGTGTGTACAGGGAGTGTAGTGTACAGTGGTTACCCCAAAGACCATCAGTCGCATGCCACGAGACAAAAGATTAATCGTTCGGAACATCCCCCTCAACTAGGTATGTAGTGTACATACACTAGGTACCTACTCTGCACATAAGCGAAAAAAAGCAGGGGTCCTTGCCTTAAACTACACTACAACATGTGGAAGAGATTCCCGCGTCAGGAAGGTGATGGAGGTCCACACCACAGGACAGGCAGGCCTAAAGAGATAAGACATTGTCGATCAGCCATGTGATCGACCATGAGCTAGTGTACCATCGAGCCCATCATATGAACATCAAACGTCGGACGAATTATGCTAATTCAACAAAGGTCCGTCCGTATAGTTCGTTTAGAACCAACCCCTGAGGGCCAAAAGACCTTACTTACTACGAGCCAGGAACTCTGGTATTGATTCTATCGACAGTAGTAGCAAAGAAATCGATGGCTTTTGGGGCGAGGGTTTCAGTCTCTCAACAAATCGAACACCGACAACAGGGATCAACAAATGATATTGGGGTATACTAGGTATTCGGAGTGGGGTCCCTCCCCCCTTGGGTTTGGGATGTAATGGCGGGATGTAGTGGACTTCACTTCACTTCCATAGGGGTCATGATGTCCTGAATTCCCATGCCTACCTATCTACCGTTAATAGCCCGATTACGATCTGATAACCGCAAAGGGAGGAAGGCAAAAAATACGCCGTATACCTGATGCGGAGAGTTTCTCCGCATGGGATGTGCACCCCTGAAGTGCCTGCTCACGAATGACACATGCGGTCCTTCACCAATGCTAGGACCAAACTACCACACTAGTGTCTCGAAATGTTGCGAACGGTAGTGGTACAAGGACAGCTTGATCCCCTCGAGAGGCTCTGCTCAGCTGAAACTAGGGAAGCGGTGAGCCCGATCTCATGACGCTTCAGGACCTGTCCGAGCGGTTCTCGTTCCAGCTTACCGGGGGAGATACTGACGCTGTCATTGACAGGCCGCACTACTTTTTACGAGAAACAGCTTGAACACCGATTCACAATACACTACTAGGTAGGCTTGGCTGTTGAGAGTGCAAAAGTGCGAAACGGTGCACTTGCTGACAGGAATAAGGCTTCTATGCCGCATGTAACTTGGACTTTTGAATGGCTCTGAAACAAATGAAGAAGACGAACGGGGAGCGCATCTAGTTCCTTAATCCTCTCGTCAGATATCAGCGAGCACAAGGTTTTTTGGTGTGAATTTTGTAGGAAAATACGCTGATATAGCCACGGAAGCAAGCATGAAGTTATGAAATGTAGCCCATTCCTTCTTTCTCTGCCATTACGAAAACCTCTCTGAAGCACAAACTAATAATAGTATGAACTACGAAGACGAGGCCTCTCCCCACATCTTGCTATCCCTTCCAAACGCCATAATCCGTGAATGCAACTCCCCACTGCGAATCGCCTCATAAATATC